TAGGCCCGAAACGTCAGCCTTCCTGCTCCTCTGATGCTGCTTGGCCTGCTGTGTTCATCCAGCTCTACACCTTGTAGACTAATACCATGCAGGTATCTGTCAGGGCAGATCACTCTATTAGCATTACCCTCTGTTTCTGCCTTTAACTTGTGCCTTTGAGTGTGATTAGGATATATACAATTCTCTCGCATTACTTTACTTCTCATGATACTTTCTACCACCTCTTCCTCTAAGAGGTGGAATGCTTATTGAACTGCTCTCTTTCTTTCATGTAATTTTATAATAGCTCTTACAATCTGTTTTTATACTACTATTTAGTTTATTCTCAAAATCTGGTTTTTCTCTTTTTATCAACTTTTCAGTTGCCCTTTGCTGTTTCTAACACATTTCCTAACTTCAGACTTACTGTTTTTTTTTGCAACATTGTAAGCCACTTCAGTAGTTATGGCAGAAACAGAGGAAAATCTACAAAGAATTTTAGACATGGTTGAAACAAACAGCACCACATGGATTATCATTAAACTACGCAAAACAGTGTGCACATATCGAAGAAAAGGATTTACACCTAGAGGCAAAATAAGAGCAAAATAAAGAACCCAAAAGAGTAGAATTATTTTGAGTATTGCTGAAAAACATATTTTATCATAACTTTGATTTTGCACACATCAACTTTTCAGTTGCCCTTTCCTAGTTTCTAAACCATTCCAAATCTTCAGGCTTGCCATTTTTCTTTTGCAATATAATAAGCCTCTGAAGCATTGACAGTAGATGCTGACGTAGATGCGGCACGGCGGCACGGTGGCTCAGTGGTTGGCACTGCGGCCTCACAGCACCAGGGGCCTAAGTTCGATTTCCCCCTTGGGCAACAGTTTGTGTGGAGTTTGCACGTTCTCCCTGTGTCTGCGTGGGTTTCCTCTGGTGCTCCGGTTTCCTCCCACAGTCCAAAGACGTGCAGGCTAGGTGAATTGGCCATGCTAAATTTCCCATAGTGTTCAGGGATGTGTAGATTAGGTGGGTTTGGGGAATGGGTCTGCGTGGGATTCTCTGAAGGTCGGTGTGGACTTGTTGGATCGAAGGGCCTGTCTCTGCACTGTCAAGATTCTATGGCTAAATCTACAAAGAATTCTACCATAATTCTAATAGTTTTAAAATAGTGATGGAAAAGGATAGACCGGATCTAAAAGTTGAAGTTCTAAATTGGAGGAAGGTCAATTTTGACAGTATTAGGCAATAACTTTCAAAAGTTGATTTGGGGCGGATGTTCCAGGTCACGGGATGGCTGGAAAATGGGAGGTCTTCAAAAATGAAATAATGAGAGTACAGAGACTGAATGTTCCTGTTAGGGTTAAGAGCAAGGCTGGTAGGTGTAGGAAATGCTGGATGACTAAAGAAACTGAGGTTTTGGTCAGGAAAAAGAAGGAAGCATATGTCAGGTATAGACAGCAAAGATTGAGTGAGTCCCTAGAAGAGTATAAAGGCATTAGGAGTATAATTAAGGGGGAAATCAGGAGAGCAAAAAGGGGACATGAGATAGCTTCGGTAAATAGGGTTAATGAGAATCCAAAGAGATTCTACGAACACAATAAGGATAAAAGGGTAACCAGAGACAGAATATGGCCCCTTAAAGATCAGCAAGGCCGCCAATGTGTGGAACTACAGGAGATGGGGGAGATACTAAACCAATATTTTGCATCAGTGTTTACTGTGGAAAAGGATATTGAAGATAGAGAACATGGGGAAATAAATAGCAACATCTTGAATAATGTCCATATTACAGAGGAGGAGGTGCTGGACGTCTTAAAATGCATAAAGGTGGATAAATCCCTGGGACCTGATCAGGTGTACCCTAGAACTCTGTGGGAAGCTAGGGAAGTGATTGCTGGGCCCCTTGCTGAGATATTTGTATCATTGATAGCCACAGGTGAGGTGCCAGAAGACTGGAAATTGGCTAACGTGGTGCCACTGTTTAAGAAAGATGGTAAGGAAAAGCCAGGGAACTATAGACCAGTGAGCCTGACATCAGTCGTGGGCAAATTGTTGGAGGGATCCTGTGGGACAGTTTACGTGTATTTGGAAAGGTAAGGACTGATTAGGGACAGTCAACATGGCTTTGTGTGTGGGAAATCATGTCTCACTAACTTGATTAAGTTTTTTGAAGAAGAAACAAAGAGGATTGCTGAGGACAGAGTGGCGGACATGATCTATCTGGACTTCAACAAGGTTCCTCACTGGTTAGCAAGGTTAGACTACACTGAATAGAGGGTGAACTGTGCTATATAGATACAGAATTGGCTCAAAGGTGGAAGACAGGGCGTGGTGATGGTGGAGGGTTGATTTTCAGACTGAATGCCTGAGACCAGCTGTGTGTCACAAGGATCTGTGCTGGGTCCACTGCTTATTGTCGTTTATATAAATGATTTGAATGTGAACATAGGATGTATGGTTAGTGAGTTTGCAGATTACACCAAATTTGGAGATGTAGTGGACAGTGAAGATGTTTAACTCAGAGTACAATGGATCTTGATCAGATGGGCCAATGGGCCGAGGAGTTTTATTTAGATAAATGTGAGATGCTGCATTTTGGAAAGTGAAATCAGGGCAGGACTTATACACGTAATGATAAGGTCCTGGGGAGTGTTGAATTAATAAAGAGACCTTGGAATACAGGTTCATAGTTCCTTGAAAGTGGAGTCGCAGGTAGATAGGATAGTGAAGAAGGCATTTGCTACGCTTGCCTTTATTAGTCAGTGCATTGAATATAGGAGTTGGGAAGTCATGTTGCAACTGTACAGGACATTGGTTAGGCCACTATTGGATACTGCATGCAACTCTGGTCTCCCTGCTATAGGAAGGATGTTGTGAAACTTGAAAAGGTTCAGAAAAGATTTACAAGGGTTTGGAGGGTTTGAACTATAGGGAGAGGCTAAAGAGGCTGGCGCTATTTTCTCTGGCGCATCAGAGGTTGATGGATGACCTTATAGAGGTTTGTAAAATCATGAGCGGCATGGAAAGGGTAAACAGACCTTTTTCCAGGGTATGAGAGTCCAAAACTAGAGGGCATAGGTTTAAGGTGAGAGGTGAAAGATTTAAAAGGAGTCTAAGGAGCAAATTTTTCATGCAGAAGGTAGTGTCTGTCTGGAATGAGCTGCCAGACAAAGTGGCGGAGGCTGATACAATTGCAATATTTAAAAGGCAGCTGGATGAGTATATGAGTAGGAAAGGTTTAGAGGGAAATGGGCAAAATGCTGGCAAATGGGACTAGATTTATTTAGGATACTAGTCAGCATGGATGAGTTGGACTGAAGGTCTATTTCTGTGCTCTATATCTCTACGACTCTATGACTCTACTTTTAACAACACCTCTACAAAGCAAATTCCACTTGTCGACCACCCAGCACTCTCCCCTTAACAGTATAACATCTGGTTTTCCCGTAATTTGGAATTCTTGCAAATTGAGCTGATGAATGCAAGCTGAAAAGCTTATCAAAATATGTCCTTTTACAAATTCTACACTAATAAATAACTATTCAAATAATTTTCTTATCTGCATAGCCTAACAATATCAAATGGGAAAATTGATGAAGACATCAGGAGTTTCGTAACATAAATATTCACAAAAATGGCATACCTCTTCAGAAATGAGAGCACCTCTGTGGAAAACAGTGTGAGTTTAAACCTACACCTGATTGATTTTATTACATGGATGTGCAAGTCAGAATCTAAACAAGACAATGGAAGATGAAGTGTACAGAGACGTGGTTAACTTGAACCATGGTGAGGGTTAACAAAAACAGAAAGTGCTGGAGAATCTCAGTAAGGTTGGCAGCTTCTATGGAGAGAGAAACAGAGTTAACATTTTGAGTCAGTAACCCTTAATCAGAATGAGACTCAAGACTTTAATTCTGTTTTTCTCTCTACAGCTGATGCTAGACCTGCTGAGTTTCTCCAGCACTTTCTGTTTTTGTTTCACAACATTCACTGTTCTTTGTTTTATATTACGGTGAGGATTAGTTGGATAACATACACGGCTAATAAGGAAGCTTCAAGGGAGAAAGGAACACAACAAGAACGTTTGTAGATGATCACCAATAGACTCTTTGGGGATATACTTAACAGAGAGAAACCAGAAGGTCTGTGGAGACCATTGAAATTCTGGGTTTAATGGAACAACCGGGAACCAAATGAGGACGTACATTAACAGCTTAAGAAGCAGAACAGATACACCACTCAAGAACAACACCCAGATGATGGCTTTTATCAAATACTGTGGAAGTTGAGAGCCATGATCATCAACATTGTAAAATATAATACCAGAAGATAAGCAGAATAACCTCTTAATTTAACCTAATGCTATCAATAAATTGAGTCATCATCCACAGATGAATGTACTTGACAATTAAGCATTAACAACATATTTTCATGAACAGAATTCAAAAGATGTACAAACTTTAAGGGAGCTAATTTTTCATTATGTCAGTCTCACTGGGCTGATCCTTTATTCTGATCATGTGCTCCCTAGTTCTAGATTCCCCAGCCATGTAAAATACATTCTCAACATTTATTCTTATCAAACATTCAAGAATTTGATAAGTTTCATTGAGATTACTTTTCATTTCTCGAAATTCCATGGAATATAGGCCCAGTCTCTTCAATCACTGTCTGCAGGACAATCTAGTCAACTCAAGAATCAGTCTCATGGAACAAGGACAAGTATATCTTCCTTAAGTAAGGAAATCAAAAATGTACAGATTACTCTTGGCTGTGGTTTCATCAAGGCTGGCCAAATTTGTAGTAAGGATTTTGCACTCTTATATTACAAGACTTTTGTAATAAAGACCAACATTCCCTTTGCCTTCCGAACATGCTGTAGCTGCCCATTAGCTTTCTCTGGTTCATGCCTGGTGATTCCCAGCTCCTTCCAAAATATTCCATTTTTCTATTTTTTTCCTACCAAAGTGGATAACTTCTCACACAGGAGCGATTGGGGCGGGGATTGGGATAATGATGTAGTGGCCGTGTCACTGGCATAATAACCGAGAGGCCCAGAATAATGGTGTAGGTTTATATCCCACCGTGGCTTCTGATGGTGGGTAAATATAACTTATAAATGTGAAGCTAAAGATAGTTTGAGTGATAATGACAACTGATAGGTATAATTGTTAAAACTCATCTGGTTTAACTAATACTCTTTTAGGGAGGATGTCTGACATTCTTACCTGGTTTGGTCTACATGTGACTCCAGTGCTTGACTTCTAAGTGCCCCTGGAAATGGCCTAAGAGAGCACTTCCTAAATCTTTCCCACATTGGGTCTCTATTTCAGGGCTTGAAAACTGCCATGAACTCAAAGTGAGGACTGTGCGACTGGAGTGGAGGAGAAGGGTTGTGGGTGTGGATTATGGAACTTACTTTTCCACAAAACTTTTGGAAGCAGGAATCAGGCCATGGATATTGGTCAGTTAGGCCACGTCGTTAAAAAGTAAGGATTTAAAGGGGCCTCGCAGCATTTGACTGTAGTTGGTGCCATTGCAATCTTGGAGTTTGCAAAACCCCAAACCTCGTTGTGTCACCCCTTTAGGGGACCATGATCCACTGTTTAAGAAGGCCTGGCATAGCAATCCATTCCATTTGAGGGCAGTTCAGGGTGGATAGCAAGAAGCTTTTTCCCAGAGTGGGGGACCCAATTACTAGGGATCACGGTTTCAAGGTGAGAGGGGAAAAGTTTAAGGGAAATATGCGTGGAAAGTTCTTTACGCAGAGGGTGGTGGGTGCCTGGAACGCGTTGCCAGCGCAGGTGGCAGAGGTGGGCACGATAGCGTCATTTAAGATGTATATAGACTGATACATGAATGGGCAGGGAGCAGAGAGATACAGATCCTTGGAAAATAGGCAACAGAGTTAGATAGAGGATCTGGATCGCCGCAGGCTTGGAGGGCCGAAGGGCCTGTTCCTGTGCTGTAATTTTCTTTGTTCTTTAATTAGGAATGGGTAAGAAATGCTAGCTATGGCAGCGACACATACTGTTGAGTTGTTTTGTTGAGTTGAGTTGTTGAGGAGATTTCAGACCAGACATTCAGTGTATATTTACATGACATCGCAGCATATGATGTTACAGTATAAAAATACCCTCCTTACCATCAGACACTGTCTCTGTATAATGGAATCAGTGTAGTGATATCAGTCAGTTAGCTATGTTATGTAATGTACACTAACATCAGTGAGCACAAAATCCAGACCATGTGTAAATATGTGATATTATAGCAATGTAAATAGTGTAAACAAACTTCAGATCACTGATGATAAGAACTGAGTGTTTGTGGTAAATGTAATGTAAGCTAATGCACGGGGCAGCACTCAGATCATATTCACAGTGGCACTTCTGTTTAATTCAGGAAACCAGATCATGGGGGCACACACCCCATATCTCATGAAAAGAAAAAAATAACACAACACCACATTATCTGCCACATATTTGCCCATTCACTTAGCTACTATTTAGGATTCTCCCTCTCTCACATCCCCCAGTGGAGATTACTGTTAATGTAGCTTCAGGAGAAAGAGAAGAATCTCCAGGCTAAAAAAATCGATAAAACTAGAAGTCAACAACAAAAATGTAAGAAAGGAGAATAAAACAAGACTACAAATCCTGGTCACGAGTTCCATCCTCAGCCTCACTGAGTTTGGAGAATGTTTCTCCCAGTACAATCCTGGTCAACACAGAGGGTCAGTCACACCCAGCTCCACAATGGCCACCGAGGTGCTCAGTAGCATTGTGTCCGTATGGAGCTTCGCCAGATTTTCAAGTCGACGGGTGCCTGTTTTCCTCCAGCAGACATTACAGCTTCTGTAGCTCCAGCCACACACAGACCTTTTGGACAATAACCTCAGGATCACCTCTTACCCGCGCATGTCTCTAGCCTTCCACCAATGCTGATCCTGGTCATCCAAGACAACATATTCTTCATCTTTCCGGAGAGACAGATCGTCAGGATTCATCATGTGGTAATCATATAGTGCAACAACAACTTTCATGGATGCGGAGCTAGGTTGGGGAGGTGGAGCTCGTTTCATCTGCTGGAATACAATGAGTAGAACCATTACCAAGTCAGCATTGACTGGTCAGTTAACAATCTCTGACTAATCATCATTATGTAGATGGGAGGGTATCAGTGACAAGTTGGTCAACAACCAAGAATCAATGACTGTATTGTGTGATTGTTTATTATTCATTCATGGAATGTAGGTGCGCTGGCTATCCTTCAAGAGGTGGCGAAGGTCTGTTTTCTTGAATTACTACAGGCCAGTATAAGGGTACCTACAGTGCCTTTAGGGAGGGAGTTCCAGGATTTTGATTCTGTGACACTGAAGGAATGATGATATATTTCATGGTTGGATGGTATGCAGCCTTGGAGGAAAACTTGTAAGCGGTGGTGTTTCCATGCATCTGCTGCTTTTGTCTTTCTATGTGGTAGAGTTTACGGGTTTGAAGGTTTAGAACATAAAACAGTATAGCACAGGCATGGGTCTTCAGCCCACGATGTTGAGCCAAACATGACACCAAGTTAAACTAATCCGTTTGGCCTGCTCTTGGTCCATATCCCTACATTCCTTGCATATTCATGTGCTTATCTAAATGTCCCTTAAACGCCCCTGTCAAAACTGGCTCCACCACCGCCCGTGGCAGCGCATTCCACAGTCCTACCATGCTCTGTGTAAAAAAACACTTGCCCCTCACATCTCCTTTGAACTTTCTCCCTCTAACCTTAAATGCATGCCCCCCAATATTAGACATTTCAATTCTGGGAAAAATATTCTGACCATCAACCCTATCTGTGCATCTCATAATTTTATAGACTTCGATCAAGTCTCCCCTCAGCTCCTGCTGCTCCAGAGAAAACAACCTGAGTTTTTCTAGCCTCTCCTTATAGCTCATACCCTTTAATCCAGGCAGCATCCTGGTAAATCTCTGCTGCACCCGCTCCAAAGCCTCCACATCCTTCTTGTAATGTGGCGACCAGAACTGAACATAGTACTCTAAATGTGGCCGAAACAAAGTCTTATAAAGCTGCAACATGACATCCTGACTCTTGTACTCAGTTTCCCAATCAATAAAGGCAAGCATGTCATGTGCCTTCTTTACCAACCTATCTACTTGCACAGCTACTTTCAGGGAACTCCTGACTTGAACCCCAAGATCCCTCTGTATATCAATGCTGTTCAGAGTCCTGCCATTAACTGTATTCTTTTCCTTAATATTTGATCTCCTAAATTGCAGCACCTCACACTTACCCAGATTAAACTCCATCTGCCATTTCTCAGCTCTTACCATTTGGATGTTGGTGTTGGTGGATGTGGTGCCATCAAATGGGCTGCTTGGTCATAGATGATGTCAAGCTTCTTCAGTGTTGTTGAAGCTTCACTTATCCAGGCAAGTGGAGAGTATTCCATCACACTCTTGTCTTGGGCTGTGTAGATGGTGGACATGTTTCGAGGAGTCAGGAGTAAGTTACTCAACTCAGAAAGCCCAGTCTCTGATCTATTTATATGCCATTTCTTAGGGGATAAGAGTGCCCATGCTGGAGCAAGATATTGTACCTCTGGCCATTCATGTGGAAGGGGAGGAGGAGAAATATTTATCAGACACAAGGTGAGATGAGGTGCCAGTGACTTCCCTTGACAGCAAAACTGCATTTGACCAAGTATGACATCAAGGAGCCCTAGCAGAACTGGAATTAATGGGAATCAGGGGAAACCTCTCCACTGGTTGACGTCATACCTAGTACATAGGAAGATGCTTTTGGTTATTGGAGGTCAGTCATCTCAGCTGAAGGACATCTCTGCAGGAGTAGTGTCCTAGATGCAACCATCTTCAGGTGCTTCATCAATGACCTTCCCTCCATCATCGGATCAGAAGTGGGGATGTTCGCCAATGATTGCACTGTGTGCAGCACCATTCGCGACTCATCAGAAACTGAAGCAGTGCATACTCAAGTGCACCAAGATCTGGACAATACCCAGGTTTGGCTGACAAGTGGCAAGTAACATTTGCGCCACATAAATGCTGGGCAATGACTGTCTAACAATACAGAATCTAAATATGGCCCCTTTATATTCAATGGCATCACCATTACTGAATCTCCCACTGTCAACATCCTGTGGGTTACCATGGACCAAAATCTGAACCAAACTAGGCACATAAATACTGTAGTTACAAGAGGAGGTCAGAGACTCTAAATTCTTTAGCTCACCTCCTGACTCGCCAAAGCTCGTCCACCATGTACAAGACACGAGTTAGGAGTGTGATAGAATACTCCCCACTTGCCTGGACAGGTACAGCTCGAACAGCACTTCAAGAAACTTGACACAATCCAGGAGAAAGCAGCCCACTCAACTGACACCGAATCCATACATCTCCACTCCCTGCACCGCTGGCCCTCAGTTACAGCAATGTCTGCCTGTGCAAGGTGCACTTCAGAAATTCACCAAAAATCCTGAGATAGCTGCCTCCAAACCTACAAACTCTACCATCTAAAATGATTCAGAAAGATGGGAACACCCCTACCTGCAACTTCCCCTCCAAGCCACTCACCACCCTGACTCGAAATGTATTGCTGTTCCTTCAGTGTCACTGGGTCAAAATCCTGGAATTCCCTCCCTAAGGGCATTGTGGGTCAGCCTTCAGCATGTGGACTGCAGCGGTTTAGGAAGGCTGCTTACCAGCACCTTCTCAAGGGCAACTAGGAGCAGGCAATAAATGTTGATCAGCCTGTGATACCCATGTCTTATGACTGAACAAAAAATAAATGGGGCTGAATCAGGTTATTACTGTGTTGGAAAAAAGTAATGTGCTCGCCAATCCAGTGCCTACTTTTTGTTGATTATTTTTAAAGATCATCAGATGAAACCTGCGGGCAGCACGGTGTCTGGGGTTAGCACTTCCGCACTCTCAGTGCAAGGGACCCAGGTTCAATTCCAGCCTCGGGCAACTGTCTGTGTGGAGTTTGCACATTCTCCCTGTGTTTGCATGGGTTTCTTTTGCGTGCTTTGGTTTCCTCCCACAGTCCAAAGATGTGCAGTTTAGGTGGATTGGCCATGCTAAATTGCCATAATGTCCAGGGATGTGTAGGTTTAGGTAGATTAGCAATGGGAAATGCAGGGTTACAGGGATAGGGTAGGGAGTGAGTCTGGGTGGGATGATCTTCAGAGAGTCAGTGTAGACTTGTTGGGCCAAATAGCCTGTCTCCACACTGTAGAGATTCTATGGAAATCTGCTATGGCTTGCTTCTCCTGACAGGAGTATGGTTAAGTTCAGTATCAGTGCTGCTTCGACAATGCTGGTGTGTCACCTAGTGAAAACCAAGAAAACACTGGTGGCAAATGGACACTCTGGTAGGCTTCATTCACTACCAGCTTCAGAGAACAGGTTGCTTGCATTGTGGTTGGTTTGGTAAGAATATCGCTTGCACCCTGTCCCAGCATCCCATCCATTATCCACTCATGGAACTGGATCCTTGTAAGGTCTAGAGAGACTGCTGAATTCTTAGCTGTTAGTAGGATGGTCTTTTTATTTAACATTCTGCTGGCCATTTTCATGATATAAAGTGGTGTGCAACCAAAGCAAGTGTAAAGTGAGAATAAAACAGAAAGTAGTTAGGGTCTGGAATGTACTGCCTGGAAACGTGGTGAATGCAGGTTCTGTTGAGGTACTCAAGAGGGCATTGGATGATTAATTGAATGGAAATGGGGTACAGGGATATGGGGAACAGGCAGGAGATTGGCACTAGTGAGTAGAGTCAGACTAAATAATGGAGCTGACGTAGGAACGATGGCCCAAATGGCCTGGTTCTGCACCATATTTCTGTGATTCTGTGAGTAAGCTTAGCTCAAGGCGATACACAGAATCATCTCTCTCTGGGGTCAATAAATGTGGAGTTGGAAAAGCACAGCAGGTCAGACAGCATCTGAGGAGCAGGAAAGTGAATGCTTCAGGCCAAAACCGTTTGTCAGGACTGAGGAGGGGGAGGGGAGCCCAGAAATAAATAGAGAGAGGGGAGTGGGGCGGGGGGGAGGTAGGTGGGGGATGATTGTGGTTGGTGAGTAGGAAGGGTGGAGCGGACAGGTGAGGAGGAAGATGGACAGGTTGGGGGTGGAGACATTTTGAAGCTGGTGATGCAGGTATGGGGTTATTGTGGTTGGTCAGTGGAAAGGGTGGAGCGGATAGGTGAGTCATATGATCGACAGGTTGAGGGAAGAGAGATTTTGAAGTTGGTGAAGTCAATATTCAGGCCATTGAGCTGTAAGCTCCCAAGACAAAATATGAGGTGTTGTTCCTCCAGTTTATGTTTGGCGTCACTCTGGAGGCCAAGGATGGACATGTCACCAGGGAGTGGGAGGGAAGTTAAAGTGGATGGCAACTGGAAGATAGGATTGGTTGGTGAGTGCAGTTAGAAATAGACACAGAGGCGGAGATGGTGGAAATAAACCTCGACATGGAGGGCCCTCTGGAGTCTGCTGTCATGCAATCTCTTGCATCATGACTGATGTTGTCTGACGATTCACATATTTGAATATTTACCCTTTACCCTACAGCCATCATCAATCACAAATTCCAGGACTCTCACCTTCCAGTCCTCCCTTACCCAGGGGCAGCTTGATCTTCACTCATTCTTCCAACCTCGCTGGTTTAACAGACATAAGACCTCTGACCCAATATCGGGGCAATATTCACCATTCAGATGCAGAGATTGTACTCAAGATATAACCAGTTATCCACCATCACCAAGATTTAGAGTGACAATAAGAGACAACATCAGAGGGAGAGTGAAAGACGGAAAGAATAAGTGAAAGTGAGACAGGGACAGGTAAAAAGAATGGGCACAGAGAAAGAGTGAGATAGATGTAACAATGACAAGTCACAGAATGAAACAGAGACAGAGGAGGAAATAAATTTGAGACACTGATTAAAAATCATGAAGACAGGGAGGCAGAGGAACAGGGAGAGAAATACAGTCATCAAGACAAAAGGTGAGTGAGTAAGGGTGAGTGAGTGAGTGTGTGGGTGCGTGAGTGAAGGTGATTGAGTGTGGGTGAGTGAGGGAGTGTGTGAGTGAGTCAGTGAGTAAATAGGAAAAGGTAATAGAAAGGGCGTTTCTGCCATGTGTGGTGTCAGCTCACTTGCCTGCTGCTGTTCTTCCACTGGAGTTGGAGGAAGAGGCTTCCTGGATTTACGCCGAGAATTACCTGCTGAAGGAACTGCAATCACAGAGTTTAAAATGACTTTTCCACACATTGCCTCACCTAAAATACTTCTTCAGTTCCAACAAAGCCTACAGTGAGCTCCAACCTGTACAGGGCAACTGTTGGCTTGGTTCTTCAGGTAAGATTTTGAAATTTCAATGTAAGTGTTGTGAGTATCAGCTGTGCTCAGAGAGCTGAGAATCCAATTACATGTTACTGAGGGCCTGTTGCATATTTCACATGAGGAGAACTGAGAGGCCCACTTCTTGTTTAGTTGGTTCACATAGCAATTTCAGGATTTGCAGAATCACATCTGAATGCAGAATAACACTGCTATCATTGTGGTAACAGGCTTCCCACCATCAGATAAGATGTCAAACTGAGGCCCCATCTGCTCTCTCAGGTGCATTGTCAAAAACTTCCCTGGCACTATTTCAAAGAACAGCAAGGTGCACTGTATCCTTGCTATCTTGGCCAACATTCATAACTTAAGCTATTAAGACAGATTATCTCATCATATCACACTGCTTTCTGGGATCTTGCTATGTGTAAATTGGCCACTATAGCATTGATTAAACTTTGGAAGTACTTCATTGGCTGTGAAGCAGTGGTAGATCATTTGAAAGCCAGAAAAGTGCTTTTAAAAAAAAGTAATCCCTTTCTTGGTCTAGGACTTGAGAGCAGAACTCCCTTACTCTCATTCAGCTACTGCCAAGGACGGACAGAACTTCATCTCCTCTGAAATACAGCACCTCCAACAATGTAGCACACCCTTGGCTCAACCTTGGAGTGCCAGCCTAGACCTGGTACTTGAATCCTTGGGTTGGAATTAAACCCCTACCGTCTAACACAGCAGTGAAAAGGCTATAAAGAGTCACAGCTACTAAATGCATTGTGGCCTTGCCCCTGGGTATGGGGGGTGGCTCACTGCTCTTCATAATCCCAGGTGGGACTCAGTACCTTCAACAATTACCTAACAAGCAGCTTACCCTGCAAGAGTTCTGCTAATTGCAACCCTTGGTTTGGTCTGAAGGTCTGGCCTCAGCACCTTTTCCATTCCTGAACATTGTCAGGACAGCAGAAAGCAGACCGCTGATGCCCTCCCATGTTCGATGAGTATATATCTGGGGGCATACGGGGGGCTCCTTTGGAAAGGCCTGATATCATTTATGGATATACACCATACACCGTTTTTTGAGGGTCAGCAAAGACAAAGAAGAGAAATATTTCCCAAAATTTGTAAAGCGCTCACAGGAATTCATGGACTTGATGATGGAACATCCAGGTGCATTTTTAGCTGATTGTTGACAGCAGGACCATTCTCCTTCTATCCAAAAACATGGGTGGTATTTCTGCATCAACTCCTGATTGAACCGGATTCCTGGAAAACAGCATAAATTAATAACAGTGCAAGGGGTAGGAAATCTGGAGGCAGTCTTTGGAGAAGAGAAGGCTGAGAAGAGATTTCATTGAGGTGTTCAACATCAGTAGGGTTCTGGACAGAGTTGGTGGAGAGACACTGTGCCTATTGGTGGAAGGATCCGAGGAAATATTGAAAGGCATTGGTAAGAGAAGGAGAGACGAGGAGAAGCTGTTTCATGCAGCAAGTGATTAGGACTGATCTGAGGTTGTGGCAGAGGCAGCTTTAACTAAAGCTTCCAAAAGAAAATTGAGTCAAGTCCTTTAATAGAGAAGCCTTTGCAGGGTGATGAGATAAAGGTGTGGGAGGAGGACTAGCTGAATTGTTCTTCTAGAGACCAGCAGGGACTTGATGATCTGAATGGTCTCCTTCTGTGCTGTGACCATTCTGCTTCTATGGTTCTATTAACTAATATCACATATTAACCGACCCTATCACTACACAGATTAATCCCTCTTCATTACTATATATATATTAACCTCCCCATTACCATACAGATTAAACTCCCGCAAGTATCGCACAGATTAACCCCCCACTACGATTCCCACACAGATTAAATGCCCCACTGACTACGAGACAGATTAACCACCCCTCGATTATCACATTGATTAACCCACCTTTTTATCACACTGACTAACACTGCCACCTCCCAATTATGACTCAGATTTACAACCCCAATTATCACAGAGTAAAACCCCTCGGTTATCACACAGACTAACACCCAACTCCCCTCTGATTATCACACAGATTAACTTACACCTCCCCCCTCAACCCCTGCCTCTCCATGATTATCTGGAGGTAAAAGATGGCTTACAGGTCTAAATGACCTGACCTAGCTCTTCCCTAATTCTTTGGGCCTTTAGGATTCATGTGCATCTGATTTTTGGCTGGACCTTTGATATTACAGGAAGTTGCAGCCCAGTTTTGTTTTCCCAGTCACACCGCAAGACTATAGCACAACATAATTCCTTTCCTACCCAGCAAGTGACAGATTTGTCCTGTAATCTCACAAGGGTGGCACAGTGGCTCAATAGTTAGCACTACAGCCTCACAGTGCCAGAGACCCGGGTTTGATTCCACCCTTGGGCTGTGTAGAGTTTGCACATTCTCCCTGTGTCTGTGTGGGTTTCCTCCAGGCGCTCCAGTTTCCTCCCACAATCCAAAAATGTGCAGACTAGGTGGGTTGGCCATGTTGAATTGCCTGTAGTGTTCAGGGATGTGTAGCTTAGGTGGGTTATAGGAGAATGGGTCTGGGTGGGATGCTCCAAGGGTTGGTGTGGACTTGTTTCTGTTTCTACACTGTAGGGATTCTATGATTCAAATAGGTCTTCCGTTCTGGATTTAATCAACGTAAAAGGAAGAAAGCTGAGTAAATTGACTACGTAACTGTTGTTCAACTCTTTGATCCATTGTTTCCGCACATCTTCATTCTTGGCAAAAACATAGAGAGGGCCCTCATCATACACGATCTGTGGAAGATATAGTCATGTCATGATTGGATCTTAGCATCACAAGGTCAGGAAAGCAACAGAAAAGTCAAACATTATGCATCTGAACTCTGCCAACAAATAGCAAGGAGTTTAATCTCAGACTCAATGTCTCAGACTCCTGTCTGGGTTAATAAAAAAAAATTCTCTGAACTACATTTAAAACAGTCCGGTTTTGTAGAATGGTTTCTCAAACGTTTCCTAGAACAATATGTTGGGGACTCAAATTAGAATAAAGTTATTTTTGGTCTAAAACTGTGAATAAGGCAGGCAGCAAACTCTGCAGAAAAGATATCACATTACATTACAATAGTTCCATGTTAAGTTTTAGAGTGACATACTTGAATGCAAAAGATGAATCTTAAAACTAAGCAAAGTCAATATTATAGATATGTGGGAGAAATTGCTGAGGTTGATTCGATAAATGGACCATAAAATTTGCCTTTGTCCTTCTCGATGGAACTGGTCATGGATTTGGAAGGTGTTGTCTAAGGATCTTCAGTGAATAACTGCACTGCATCTCATAGATGGTACATGCTGCTGCTACTGAACAAATGTAGATTTGGTCCCAATTAAGTGGGGTGCTTTCTTCTGGCTGGTTTAAGATTCTTGTGTCTTTTTGGCACAGGACTCTTCCTGGAAAGTGGGGATTATTCTATCACACTCCTGATTTGAGCCTTGTAGATGGTGGACAGGCTTTGAGAGTCAGGGCTGAGTTCTGAGGAAGGGTCACCGGACCCGAAACGTTAACTCTGTTTTCTCCTTCACAGATGCTGCCAGACCTGGTGAGCTTTTCCAGCAAGTTTGTTTTTGTTCCTGATTTACAGCATCTGCAGTTCTTTTGGTTTTTTTTAATGAGTTATTCATTGCAACTATCCTAGTCTCTGATCTGCTATTGTAGCCACAGTATTCACATGCTAGCCCAGTTCAGTTTATGGTCAATGGTAAGCCCAGGATGTTGACAGTGTGAGATTCAGTGATGGTAATATCATTGAATGTCAAGTAGCAATGGTTAGATTGTCTCTTATTGGAGAATGCCATTGTCTAGCATTTGTGGGATCTGAATGTTAGTTGCCAATTGTCAGCCCAAATTGAATATTGCCCAGGTTTTGATACTTTGGACATGTATTGAATCAATATTTGAGGAGTCACAAATGGTACTGAACAATTGTAATTATCAGTGAACATCCCTATTTCTGACATTATGATGGAGGGAAGATCATTGATGAAGCAGTTAAAGATGGTTGGCCCGAGGACACTACCCTGAGGAACTCCTGCAGAGATGTTGTGGAGCTGAGAAGACTGATCTCCAACAACCACGACCACTTCCTATTGTCAGGTATTACTCCAACCAATGGAGAGATTTTACCCTGATATCCATTGACTCCAATTTTTCTCAGGCTTCTCGATGCCACACTTGGTTAAATGTAGCCTTGATGTCAATGGCCGTCACTCTCACCTCACTTCCAATGGCAACTATGAAACAAATACTTTTGTCTGTCTTCTCTACGGAAGGCACTAAATTCACCTATACCAGTGTTAGAGAGTAATCAAGGGGTTAATAAGTGTAAGGAGCTTAAAGTTACTAATATCTGCAGCTAAAACATATTGGAGAAAATTAAGGGACTACAAGCCAAAAAAAACCTCAGTCCTGAGACCTAGGTTCTACAGTTCTAGAAGTAGTGGCTGCAAAGATAGTGATGCGTTGATTATGAGTTTCCAAATTCCTGTAGCTTCTGAGTGGTTCCCAACAGATTGTAATTAGCAAATGTTACATTGGTATTTAGGAAAGGGTGGAGGAAGAAAACAGAGAATTACAGAACAGTTAGCCTGAGATCAGTCTTAACTTAAATTAAGTTAAAGGGGTAAGACATGGCAGGAGAGCTCCAAGTCGTAGTCTTCTCCTCTTGCTTGATGTGGGAAGCTAGGTACATTTCCAGTGCCTGGGACTTGCATGTGTGCAAGAAATGTCTTCAGCTGCAGCTTCTGAAGCCCAAGTTTTGGAGTTGGAATGGCGTCTGGGGACACTGGAGCATTCGCGAGGCGAAGAGTATTGTGGATAGCACATAGAGAGGTGGTCACACTGCAGATTCAGACTCCACAGGAAGGAATGGAATGGGTGACCACCAGGCAGAACAAGAGGCCTAAGCAGGCAATTCAGGAATGTCCTGTGGCTATTCCCCTGCAAAACAGATATACTGTTTTGGATACTGTTCAGGAGAATGGCCTCTCATAGGATAACAGCAATAGCCAAATTCATGGCACCATGGTTGGCTCTGCTGCAGAGGGAGGGATAAATAGGCATAGAAATACAAAGCTACACAGGAATCAATTGCAAGGGGAATAGATAGGCATTTTTGTGGCCCCAAACGAGAGGCCAGGATGGTGTGTTGCCTCCCTGATGGTAGGGTCCTGGATGTAGGACATTCTGAAGGGGGAGGGCAAACAGCCAGTGGTTGTGATACAAGTTGGTTCTAACGACATAGGTTAAAAAAAAGGGATAAGTTCCTAAAAGCAGAAAGTAGAGAACTAGGAAGAAAGTTGAAATGTAAGACCTCAAAGGTCATTGTCTCAGGATTACTATCAGTGCTACAAGCTAGTCAGAGTAGAAACAGCAGGATATATAGGATGAACATGTGACTGAAAAGATGGTCGAAGGGGAAGGGTTTCAGACTCGTGCGACATTGCAACCAGTTCTGGGGGAGGTGGGATCTGTACAAACTGGATGGGTTACACCTGGGCAGACCGGGACAGATGTCTTTGGGGGGTGGGGGGGGATACTTGGTAGAATGGTTGGGGAGGGTTTAAACTAGTCTGGCAGGGGAATGGGAACCAAAGGAGCAGGACAGTGGATGCAGAAATTGAGGGAGACGTAGAAACCAAAGCAAACATGACTAAGAACAAGAACAGGCAGGGAAATGCTGCTGAAGAGAGGAGGGGAGGTGGTCTGAAGTGCATGTATTTCAATGACAGAAGTATAATAGATAAGATAGATGAACTTAAAGCTTTGGTTAGTACTAGGAACTTTGACATTATTGTGATTTAGTTGAAAGAGGGACAGGACCGGCAGCTAAATGTCCCAGGATTTAGATGTTTCCGGTGTGATAGAAAGGGAGGTAAAAGTGGCGGGGGAGTTGCATTACTGGTACAGGAATATCTCACAGCTGTACTAAAGGGGGATATATCAGAGGACTCATGCAGCGAGGCAATATGGGTAGAACTCAGGAATAGGAAAGGTGAAATCACAATGCTGGGAGTGTACTACAGGCCTCCCAACAGCCAGCGGGAGATGGAGGAGAGAATATGTAGGCAGATTTTGGAAAGATGTAAAAACAGCAGGGTTGTGGTGGTGGGTGATTTTAACTCCCCCTGTATTGATTGAGACTCACTATGTGCTAGGGGCTTGGATGGGGCATAATTTGTAAGGACCATTCAGGAGGAATTCTTGATACAGTATGTAAACAGTCCAGCTGGGAAAGAGGTTATACTGGACCTGGTTTTGGGAAATGAGCCTGGCCAGTTGAGTGAATTTTCAGTAGGAAAGCATTTTAGGAGTAGTGACCATAGTACTGTCAATCTTAAGATACTCATGGATAGAGATAAAAGCAGTCCTCGGGTGAAGGTGAAAAATTGGGAGAAAATGAACGACGACAATATTAGGCAGGAACTGGAGAATTTTGATTGGAGGCGGCTGTTTGAGGGTAAATCTACATTGGATGTGTGGGAGTATTTCAAATAGCAGTTCATAAGAGTTCAGGAGTGGCACGTCCCTGTGAGAATGAAGGATAGTTATGACAAGCTATGTGAACCTTGGATGACCAAGGATGTTCTGACCATGGTCAAAAAGAAAAAGGAAGCATAGATAAGGTCTAGGAGGATCCGAACTGGTGAAGCCCTTAAAGTATATAAGGAAAGTAGGAAAGAAATTAAACAACGAATTAGAAGGGCTAAAAGGGGTCATGAAAAGTTGTCAGCAAATAGAATTAAGGAAAATCCTAAGGCTTTTTATACATATAAAAACCAAGAGGCTAGCCAGGGAAAGGGTTGCCCACTCAAGGACAAAGGAGAGAATCTATGTGTGGAGCCAGAAGAGATAGCTGAGGTCCTAAACAAATACATTGTGTTGGTATTCACCAAAGACAAGGAACTGGTGGGGGATGATCTCAGGGAAGGGAAGGTTGAGTTTCTAAGCCAAGTTGCTTTTAAAAAGGAAGAGGTGTTGTCCATCTTAAAAAGTATTAATGTAGATAAATCCCCAGATCCTGATGGGATCTATCCCAGAATATTGAAGGAGCAAAAGAACAAATTGCTGAAGCATTTACAGATATCTTTGTATCCTCTTTGGCTACAGGTGATGTACCAGAGGACTGGAGAACAGCCAATGTTGTCCCATTGTTTAAGAAGAGTAGCAGGGATAATCCAGGAAATTACGGACTTGTGAGTCTCACGTCGGTGGTAGGGAAATTATTGGAAAAGATTCTCTGGGACAAGATCTATATGCATTTAGAAGCAAATGGGCTTATTAGCGATAAACAGCATGGTTTTGTACTGGGAAGGTCGTGCCTCACTAACTTGATCAAGTTTTTTGAGGAAGTGATGAAGATGATTGATGAAGGAAAAACAGTTGATGTTGTCTACATGGATTTCAGTAAAGCCGTTGCCAAGGTCCCTCATAGTAGACTGGTACAAAAGGTGAAGTCACATGGCATCAGGGGTGAGCTAGTAAGATGGATACAGAACTGGCTTAAGCATAGGAGACAGAGAGTAGCAGTGGAAGGATACTTTTCAAAGTGGAGTGTTGTGACTAGTGGTGTTTCACAGGGATCAGTGCTGGAAACTCTGCTGTTTGTGGTCTACATAAATGATTTGGAAGAAAACGTAGCTCATCTAATTAGTAAGTTTGCGGATAGCACAAAGATTTGTGGAGTTGCAGATAGAGAGGAAGGTTGTCAGAGGATATAGCAGGATATGAATCAGTTGAA